GAGGATGCATTGCCTCTTTTTTTTGGTTTTTGAGGAAAAGATGCATTGCCTCTCTCATTCCAAAGAAATGCACAGAAACCGAAAAAGACTAAGAAAGAAGAAAGTGGCTTGATGCTGGAATTGCTTCAAAGACCCAAATTTTCACTTCTTTTCTTGATTTCATTCTAGGATAATGTATATTTAGCTATACTTTTGGTCCTGTGGTTTTGAACGGTGGTGTTTTTGAAAATGGGTAACAAATGGAGAAAAGCAAAGCTGGCTAGGGATGGAGCCAAAAATTGAAGTTAGGGGGGAACGTTAGCATTTTTTGGGCCATTTATTAGTTTATATTAGTATTATTTATATTAATTTTTATATTAATTATTAATTTTGTGTGTATATCATTTGAGTTATGCATGTAAAATTTTAAATTAATTAGATATATTTAGTTTTATTAAGGAAAGTAAATTTATTTAGTTATTTTTAAATGATATGCACTTTAAAATCTTTAATTAAATAATATAAAAATATAGTTTATTTTTTTAAATGATTACCTATATAAAACAATTTTAAATTTTAAATACATAATTTAAATGAATAAAATAAATTCAACCATTATTTTTATAGAATATAAATTATACAAAAAATTATATAATTAATATAAAAACTTATATAAGTTATATCAATATAATTAACTAAATCTTGACTATTTTTTAAATATTTTTTCTTACCTAAACCAAATTATCATATCTTAAAAATTAATAAAAAAATTAATCATAAAGAAAAAAATGATTTCTTTACCTAAATTCTAAATATTTTCTTTATATTTCAAACGGTCCCAATAATTCAAAAACTCAAAAAATAAAATTTTGTAAAAAATAAAAATTAATGTACCATATTTGAAAATTTTCAAAAGCTTAGGGGCTCCCCCTTGTCCAACATTGACTCCGTCCCTGAAGCTGGCTATTGGGTTTAGAGCACTGCTAGGGGCACTCGCCTCTTGCACTCTCCGGCCAACCCTTTCACTTTTATTGCCCGCGTTATTTGGGTTTGTAAGAGGTTGCACTTCAAAGCTTTAAAGACAAGCTTACGTGGCCCAATGAAAGGGGAAGTGTTAGCCGGAGAGTGCAAGAGGCGAGTGCCCCTAGCACAGCTCTTGAGTTTAAATCTCAGTGTCTACATTGCTCGTACATGATGGCCAAATTGGACAACTTGTGACTAGAAATCGGGATGATTCAAGCTTTGCAGCGTGAACATGGCGACGGAAAGGCAAGAACCTGCAATGAGAAATGAGCATATTAGAATGGTGAATCTGCGTTCTCTCAGAAAATGAGGCTTCGCATAACGGCTGTGGACGATGCATATCTCTCACACAAGACCTGTTCAAGGGTGAGAAAGGTTGGTGACCAGAAAGGGGATTTTCATTGTACTCTATCCTTTTGCATTTCTATAGATTTGCTTACAGAAAGAATTATATAATCTAGTAGTTAGATTTAAAAGGACAAGCAAACTGAAAAAAGACAGGATGGATGTAAGAAAGTGGAAGCTCTTATTGGAAGAAAAGTGGTCCAGGTCAAGGTTTCTTGTGGCGTGGATAGGGTTCTAAGCGAAACCAGTTGTAATAAAACAACAGGGGTTAGTCAAAGAAACCCGTAAGTCTTGTTTATCTGGAAAGGATAGAATTGAAAATTCCAAGAATAATTACAAAACTTTCTTGACCAATGACTAATACCTAATTCAAAAACAATCCAAGGGGCAAATGCAAATTTCTTCTCCAGTAATTTCCTGGTAATTGCTTCTTGTTACTATATATTAGAACAAAAAATAGGAAGTTAGCTTCTGAGAGAATGGCTTCCTTCATTATAAGCTGTTGGTTTATCATTGACTCTGTCCTCATCCCACATGGATTTCGGAAGTGGTTTTATCTCAGCTTCTATATCCATCCTATTTTCCTTTTTTTTTGTCAGATTTTTCTTTGGCTCAAATTACTGCTAACATGGATCCTTTATCCTTGTAGAATTATTTGGTTTATGGGTTCATATGCTTTTAAATTTTCTGTAAATTGTGGCAGCTCTGTTTTATCATTTTTCAGAAACTTAGGACATGGTACCGTCGAGTCCTTTGAAGAAGAGGATCTCGATGTATTTGAAGAAGCTGTGGATAGTTTTAATGGAAATCATCAGCTTCTTAGCTTGCATAGTTGTTCAGGTATTCCTCCAATTGTATGCAATCAGAAAGGATTTTATCAGCTTGAGAAAGTTGAATTTGGAAAGGAAAGTTGGTGTGAATATGATGGAGGATGCATTGAAGAAGGAGATCCGAGTACAGAGGGGGAGATCTTTTGTCTTCAGGGAATTAATTTCATGGATGATGAATACTGTTCTGTGGTTATTCCTAGCTGTGTTCCTTCCAGTGATGATGTAAATTTGAATGAGTATTCATCGGTTTTTTGTGGATCAGGATTACCAGCACAAAACCCACACTTGAATGAATATTCATTGTCAGTTGTTTGTAGTTCAAAGTGTTCAGCTGTGGAGAGAAAAGTAACCAGTGTTGGAGGGGATGAAGACAGTGAATCAGAAGTTTTCTACAAGGAGTATTCTTCAAGAATGAGATGGTTTGATATGCTAAATCATGACAGAACTTGTGGATTAAGTGAGTATTATTTTCTTCCTTTTAATATGCATTACATCAAAAAAACAAATAGCTCCATGAATTTTGTTCTATTCTTTTTCTCGTCTGATTGTGCATCATACTGAAAGGGATACCCTTCAACTTAAGTAATCTCATAATCAAACTTTTGGGTTGTCCCCTGAATGGCTAATTTTATTTCATATGACTATGAAATATATATCATCAAAGAAGAAAAAATAGATTTCATGTTACTTGAAAAATATCCTGTAATTATTTCTAAATTTGATTCATGGTTATTATATGCAGGTGGGATCTTGAGCGATGAGCAGAAAACCCCGAGTTCCTTGGAGAGCATGAAGGTCAAGGATTTCTCAGTTTCATTCATTTCAGGGAGCAGAGTTACTAAGAAAAGGCTGTTAAGAAGCATAGAAAGTGATTTTGAACTTGTTTATGTGGCTCAATCATGCTTGTCATGGGAGGCCCTCTATCACCAGTACAGGAAGGTAAAGTCTCTTGAATCCTCTGGCTCTAGAAATGCTGTTTTTCAGCGTGATGTGGCACAGGAGTTCCAGAAATTCCATGTGCTGCTAGGCAGATTCGTGGAAGATGAAAGGACTACC